TGACTCAGTCTATTCTTCAAAAAAAAAATTTTTGAAAAAAAAAAAAAAGTTTTTAGTTCCGTAGCCAATATATTAATTTTCCAAACATTCAGGCAGATGAAAACCATTTCTTTCTTTTTTTTTTTTATAAAAGGATTTGCTCCGTTGAATTTTTGTGTCACGTTGCAGAATTCTTGTTGCAGCTTTCTTCACCTGATCCAGGTTTCCTGAGCCAGCAGAAAGCAACTGAGTGACAAATCTGCCTGCCTCACACTGACACATGCATTGATGGACACTTTGTTCAGCTGGGCTTGGGCGGCTGAACGCTCCTCCATGACTGTTCTGAAAGACGCTACCCATCAAGGGATCAACGGACGTCAGTAAATCCATTACTAAAAATACTTACCAATCCTTTGGGATTACTACGCTTAGCAAGTGGACATTGTGCATGGCACAAATCTGGAATTAGGCAGTGAAAGGCTGTCAATGGTCCATCAACACCTGATCCACTATGTAGGCATACGTTTCCCCCGGCCAAAGGTGCATGTAGTCGAGTTGCTTCATCTGAGCTGTGCCATGTGTTGCGTCGAACTTTGTCTACTTCTCTTCAACGAGGTTGTTCAGGAAGAAATTAAGCAACTGGAATGGCAGTAGCTTCAAAGCTTTATCCTTTGAGTACAAATACAGTAGATTGAAAAGCAAACGGGTAATTCTGTGTTTGTGTTCATTAAATGTGCATATACAAATAAAATGCTATGGTTTTACTGATTGTGATATGGGGGCCCAGAGGTTAATCATTTTTCTTACATTGTATGTAAAGTTTGTAGAAGTGTGCCAAACATTTCTCCATTAAAAACCTTCTGAAGTGATCATCTCTAAAAGTCTCTGTGTTTGAGCTAATTTAGATCAGGTGAAAAAACTGGGTGACATCCAGCCTAGGCACTCGGCCCAGTATGGCATTAGGACTGGCTACGTCCTGCTGTGTGTGTTAGTCCTGCAGTATATTATACTCTGGAGCAGTGCATTTACAAGTGGCGGGATGCTTATTTTCTTTTGTTTTGCCGTTTTGATTTACTGAAAATTGATGCAGAAATAAGTTTTTATTTTTTTTAAATTGCATCAGATGGATGGATGTTATCAAGTTGTGTGATGTGCCAAATTACAAGTTGATATAGTGAATTGCAAATTCAAAATGGAGATCACCATTTTTTTTTATTTTTTTTTATTTAACTTCAAAAATTTTGAGAGTTTGGAGACATTACACATAAGGACTATAAAGGTGCGCTCTATAGTCCGGAAAATACTGTAATTTATTACGTGTATCTCACTCCAGCAAATATTACCTTGGTTTTAGGCTGCATATTTGTTTTTACCTGTCCTTACCGGACTATCCTGTTAATCTACTTAACTCTTGCTTTTTGTGCTTTATCTGTGTGCCACCATAATGCCTCCATGTTATGAGTTTACTTTGGGATATATTGACTTTATATGATTCTGCCTGCCTTCTGTCTGCATTTGGATTCTCCAGAGGTACAAATCATGAAAGATTAGGGACATTCTGTAACCAATTCAACCATTGTGGTGTAACTAGAAATAATGTTCTACTCCTCATGAACCTTTTTTTTTTTTTTTTTTAAGTGAAAAACCTTCAAAATTTGGTGACTTTTGGGAAATTTTCTCACTTGCGTGATACTAATAACAGTAACTTTTAGCATTTTTGGTTGTTTTGGTTGTAGCTCAAAACCGTTTCTGGGAACAAATTTTCTTGCTTTTTAAATGTTTTTATGCATCTATTAAGTTAACTAAATTCCCAACAACAAAAATGATTTGCAGAATATAGATCAGAGGGGATTTGATCAGATTTCCTTCCCAACCAAGCCGGAAAGCTGGCACATCGTAATGGAACATGCTTTCTCTCCTTGTGTGCTCTACTCCAGGTTAATGTCCATCAGGTTTTGAAAATAGGTAATTTCCACATTTTGCCGTGTGAACCAGGCATTATGCGGTTTAGAAAATGTTCATTTAAGTGTTTTCCTTGTCGTATTATTGTTTCATGTTATTTAGTATTGGAAAATCTATACTTGCATTGCACACTTCTCATAATTATCTTATTGACTGACAATGCTCTTTGTTTGCTCAAGTCCTTTTGCAGATTAAGCAAGCCCTACAGCTCAAGCTGGTCCCCGTCCAACGCCTCGCCCTTATCCCTCGGCTCCATGATACCCTGCTGGACTCAACTGGACACAAACCAAAGCTCGCAATCCTATTACAACACTACCGTAGTCCCTGACCCAATCACAGTTTAATTAAAGTCGTCGGTCATAGGACAAGAGTCTGAAGGAAACAGTGAATTTGCATTTTTTTTTTACTCTACGTTAAACTTTTAGGTTGTTCGTTTTTTTTTTATCTAGTTCCAAGTGGATCGTTGTTTTAGCACTTTTGCATCTAGAATTGACTGAGTATAATCAATTTTGCTTAATCCACTATGCAAATGCTAAGAGCAAGATAAATACAAAATAAATTGTTTTTTCCTGCAAAAACTGAAGAAAAGGGGGATTAAGTTTGGGGCTGAAACGCAGTGTGCTGCTCTCCTGCCTCTACGTGCCACGAGCAATACCCGGCAAAGCAAAAGGGATATGAACCGTTTCATGTCCACTTGAGGCATTGACTGTAAGCAGAGACGACTGGATGCAATCTAAGTCAGTAAATGCAATTTCAGAAGGGCAAACGAGACCATCAGAAGGAACAAGGACACAGTTTACCACGCAGAAAGAAGGGTATTACAGTCACCATTTTCTGTATGACACCGACCTAAATTTATATGGGATTATCTTAGACGTGTACTTTAAATGGCAACATGCAACAAAATAAAGTAGCAAAATAGTGTTTGTGCTAAAATGCCTATATGTTTTCTGTGTTATGAAGTTAAAACTGACACAAAGTGCATTTCAGTGTGCAGTTATGCATTTTCTGGACATGTGAGTGGGGCCATTTAGCATTTGTACTTGGTCAATATCAGCATTAGTTAAAGCCATAAAACGTTACGCAACATTTGTCTCCCTCGCTACCCCTCCCTGCGTCACTCGCAGAGTAGCCAAAGTTACACAAGCTTTGTGCAGGGGGAGACAGTTGGCATTCCAGCTAATCCAACTCAACCCAAACCAGCTGACAAGGGTGGGGTGGGTGGGGATGGGGGACACATAAAAAAAATTAAGGCATGTCTGCTTCAATTACGATAACATTTGGATCATTACATCATAATCCACATCCAAACATGCAACAAATATCTGAGCTAATGCCGTCTCCAGTGATACACACAGACAGATGTGGTTTGGTAAAGCCAGTGAAATGGTGTGTGGTGTGTGTGTGTGTGGATGTAATGCCACAGTGCAGAAGTACTGATGGTTATTATTATTTTTTTGAAAGGGTAGAACACAATGTGCTTCATTAATTTGCTAAAAAAAAAAAAAAAAAATTGGCTGCGTGTAATATTTTGAATGTGCTGTGTAAAGTGTTATTATTTTTGATTATTTCTTAAAATGAAAACAGAATAATTGACCCTACAAACCAAGCAACTCCTTCAAAAAACAAACCAAACCAAAAAAAACAACAAAACAAAACACGTGCAACAGAAATACACACATGCACAATTATCAAACATGTCAACACCAACTTTACAATTTGAGGAAACCTTGAAGGTCACACAGAAAGCACATTATTCTATGACTGCACAGAGAAATGTTTCTTACTTAAATTTTCTTTTCATTTTCTTGATTTCTCCTCATATTTACATTCCCCCCACATCCCCACTTTCCATGTCTGGTTCTTACTTTGTCATTCACAGTTGAAAAGCTTTACTTGGTCTTTTTATGTTAATTTTTATGTTTGCTTTCACTAACAAACTTAATATGTAAAATAAAAGATGTTTGTTCTGTGATTTTATTATTTTTTTTTTTTTTTTTACCTTATCCCCTACTGGCCAATACATATAATACAAATCCGGATCCTTCAGCATTGGCAGAATTGTTCAGAAATTGAGGTCTTGTGTAGAATCCTTTATTCTTTAGTCTCTCAAATAACTTTAGTATCAAAATATATAGCTTTGAAATACTATTTTCTTATTTCACACCGATTATTATGGATCTGAAATTTATCACCAAAGAACATTCAAGTGTTTAGTTGTTCAGAGTAAAACAAATATCATGTGGTGCACCTGATTTATGTGGCATGGGTTTGGCTGTCACTGTGTTATTGTTCATTTAAAACACAGATCAAAAATAATTCCAGAGAGCTGAATTGAATCACACGGATAAATTCAAAGTCATCTTCACGGCCAATCGTCATTGCATTCAAACAGTCCTGATTAACATCACTAATAGTGTACTACTACATATTGTGGAGTCCTGCCCTGAACACAATGTTCCCTGTAAAATACAGTGATGGTAGTATCATGCTGTGGGAGATTTTTTTTTTTTCAGCCTTCCTTCCAATTTGACCAAACTTGACCTTTTTGATCAAATGGATAAAAATGTAAGTGTCTAGCTATGGACAGCTGGTAAAGAAACACCTCTGAATACTTGGCAGCTGTGTTCTCGGCACAATGTGCTTCAACAAAGTATGTAGGATATGCATGACACGCCTTTACCAGATTCAAATTTGCAACAACAACAACAACAACAACAAAGCAAAACATGCTTCCCAAGTGGGCACGTTATTACTATACTGCAGAATATTCCACTGAAATTTGGCAAAATGTGGAAAAGTTCAACACATTAAAAATTATTATTCTCCCCCACCAAAAAAAAAAAAATGCTACAGTGAGTCGATCAAACTTACGTGCATCTTTTTAATCGTGATGGAATATGTCGTGCATATATTAGCGCAAACATAAAACTTATATCGTCATTCAGGCCAAAACAGAAACAGAAACTGACAACAAAACTATTATTTTTAATGCCTCCCTCCCCCCCCCCCCCCCCCCCCCCCACCATCACCACCACTTCCTCCTCTCTGACAGATGTTCGGAGAGGAGGACAGAGGGATCTCACGGGCCACATTTCGCCAGTAGCATTATGTAAATAAGGTGCAGGAGCATGTGCCAGTTAAACCGCAGTGCCGTGCGGAGTGAGGGATGAAGCACAGACGCTGCACGGCAGGAGCCGGGGCCGTCGGTAGATGGCGGTAACCCAAGAAACCTGATCCACCGGGCTCCCGTGCACTCCGTCTCAGTTTGCAGCACTCGCATTTGAAGACAAGAGAAGCCGAACAGTTTGAAGGACACCGAGAAGAACCAGCAGAGCCCACGGCGGGTCCTCTCTCGCGAGCAGGCGGCGGAGCGCTCTGTCCACAGAGAACAACGGGCAAACTCGGAGCACCATGGAAGACAAATCCAATTCGTTCTCGGGCAACAAGGAGGAGAAGGCGGATGGGAATAATGTTTTTCAGAGGCAAGACTCGATACAGAAAAATAACACGGGGAGCCAGAACACGAAGGACCATGGCAACTCCGTGGGCTTCAAGGGGGAGCGGGAAGAGGCCATGGTCGGCTTTGACGACCTGGACGGGGCGTCCAGGCAGCATGGTTTTATGCAGAGGCAATTCGGGGCGATGATGCAGCCCGGAGTCAATAAGTTCTCCTTGCGAATGTTCGGCAGTCAGAAAGCCGTGGAGAAAGAGCAAGAGAGGGTCCAGACGGCCGGATACTGGATCATTCACCCATATAGCGATTTTAGGTAAGGACTGGAACACACACCTGCTCACCCCTCCCTCTGAATGCATCCCCTCCGTCACCCTGAGGGTCTGGGAGCGATAGCCTCATACAGCCTGGCCCCTAAGCGCATCCACTAATCTACCTCTGCATGTAAGCAATCTGGTTTCTGCAGGCAGAGAGGCTCTGCTCCAAGGCTGATTCATTGCGCATATTAAAAAAAAAAAAAAAAAAAAAAAAAAAGAATTAGAATTAAAATAATAATAATGATGCATATATTGGTGGGGTGTCCTTGGGAAAAGATTGCTGAATGTCAGAATTTGCAAACATTCTCACAGCTCAGATTTCCTGCATGTTTCACACAAACTGGGCGACGTGTTCCTCTATCTGAAGGGGCGACTTCACCTGGGCACAACGTGACAATGCCTCTGCACCATCACGGTAGTAAACATTTCATTGTAGGCGGCGGTAAAGCGAAAGGCCTGCGTGCAGGGGGGGGGGAAGCACAGAATGCGGTAATATCACGTAGGGGGAAAGAAGAAGCAAAAACTGCCATGTTGAATAAATTTAGGGAAACTAAAAGAGGAGGTGTAAGGCTGTGTTTGAGTTGCTTCCACTGGAATATCTCACATTTTCCACGTATTAAGGGAGATAAATCTCAAAGTTTGGCAGCCTTGTCTAATTTATATTGGACATGGACTCTCTTCTTCCATTGGTATTATGGGGAAACCCAAAATTAAATGTTCATCTTTTTTATATTCCACAATCTACAACAGACTGATCCAGGGTTATTTTCATTCTTTTTCTCCAGAACTTTTATTTTTGCTATTTGTTTTTCTTATATGCTGCCATGATTCTAGTCAAAAGCAGCAAACTCAACAAAAACACAACAAGAAAGAAGAAAAACAACAACAACAACAACAAAACGACCTAAATCAATCGATGAGACTGAATCTGTAGAAGATGTTACAGCTGTCATAATGAGAGAATGTGCTGGCTGCAGCATAGAAGCAGTTCATAACTCCTCCAAAGAGTGATATTGACATTTACATAGTTGTCAAATTTGCATATATGCCTTGTTCCATTTTGGGTATTGGTATGGAGAAAACACTTTATATCACAAATCCTAAATCCTATAGCACAGGTTGTGTGGCAAATGGATCCGGACAGTTGGTTTTATATTTCCAGCACTAACCATGCACAGGAAGGACCAGTAACGCACATGCTGCATGTTTGCATGTTTACAGTTCAATTCTTGACCAATTAAGCATTTCATCTGGTCCGGCTTTTGCACCAGTGGGCTTTTGGCACGAGGACAATCATCCCAGTTGTTCCCTCTGTTTGCCGCTACCACAGAGCTGTCCGTGGTCCTGAGCTTTGGGCAGGAACTGTGAATGCAGAACTCTGTGTACACTGCTGCTGATTTAAGGGCCACTCGATCTCAGGTTGAAGACGAGCAGCAATAGGTTTTCCAATACGCTTGAGTCCTAAGTAGAAATGAGCAAGTTGTGGGTAGCAAGTTAGAATCTTGTTTTATGAAGTTAGAGTTTCAAAATCTTTTCTTGACGTGCCAGATAAACTACAAAAGTATATCTACAGTTTTTACAACATTGCTCTCTTTATGAACCATAGAGTAGCATAGCGCTGGCCCTTCCCTACCTATTTCTGGCCTCTGCTCGTCAGCTGGCTGAAACATCTTTTTTCTCATATTTAGAAGAAAGACAAATTTGCGTGTCTGCAACATTTGGATGCAAGAAAAACAAAGACTCAAGCTAAAAGTGGCTTCTCGTCACTACTACAAGACAACACTGTATTCATGTTTTCAAACTAGAATTTACAAGCTACTAAAAAGTATGTCTGGTAGGCATTTGACTGCATCGTGCCTGCCTGAGCAGCAGATACATATAGTGAAAAGCACAATGTTTTCAACTCAAGACTGTCATACTAAAGGCAGAATCCGATGCTGGCCCACTGCTGAGCCACTCTGCAGGTGAAATGTAGAAATTGTCTATATTATACACTTGGAGGAAGGCATAGTCAAACACATAGACACTTCCAGATGTCCTTGTGGATACACAGAAGTGCAAACTTCGTGGGCAAGATTAGCGACAAACGGCAGTCAGTGAGCTTAGTAGAATCCACAAACAATTACGCAAGAAGACTGACCCCTTGCACAGATGACCAAAAGGCATGCCAGGAATAATGAGGAGTAATCCATACTTCCTTTTTGAATTTGTAGCAATAACGGGCAAGATTTTTGCTCATGCATTTGTAAGGGGACATGTCACAGCAAAGAAAGGCCAGACTGGCCTCTTCCTTATTGCTGCCGCAGCACTGGAAGATGTTTCTCATTCTCCTGCTGGTGAAGGCTGCCCTCGGGTTATCCTCTCAATGATCTTTTCCAAAGAGTTGCTTGACAGAAGGGATTCTTTCTCTTTAGTCGATGTAAAGAAACGATGATACTTCGGCTCTGAGACAGTCCTGAAAGTGGCGGAGTGTATTTTAGGTGAACAAACTGCCTTTTTTCGTTTAGTTATCTAAGCAGTGTAGTGTAGACCAAAGCCATATGTAAAAAAAAAAAAAAAAAACAACACATGGAAGACACCATGCATGGTGGGAGTGTTTGAAACTCAATATGCAACATATTCTTTGTGCACAGTACCTGCTTAAAGATTAATAGCAAGTTAGTAATATTTATTATTCATGGATTTATTTCGGAGAGGCTTCATGCCTGGCTTCACGGTTTGTGTTATGTTTTGTTGGACTCTGACGCAATCCGCTTTCAAGATGCAAATTGTTCATTTTAATTTTATTTTGTAAACTAGAGATGCACTGATCAGGCCAAAAATGGATTTCCGAATAGAAAGACTGTCACACAATAGTTTTATAAAGGTAGAGGGTTTCAATTCAACAGGAAATCAAGTAGTAAAAGGGTTATCATCTTTTACGCATCAAATCATTTGTTCCTAACCCCATATTAGATTTTTATTAAACTCAGAAAAGTGCATGAATTAAAATAACAGAAAATTGTGCAGGTTCTTATTTTGGTACATTTATTGAATAAGTGAATCACTTTTCAGAGTTGATGTAAGAGAAAATTCAAGGAAAGTATCTCCAGTTCTGATATCTGACCAAATGATTGGTGCGCCTTGGCCTAATAAATTGCAATGCTATCTTAAACTTGTGGAGGATAGTGCCTGCATTTCCTTTTACAATATATGCTCCAAAATAATTGCTCAAATTTGATCAAGCCAGAAGTTCTGCAGTTTCTTACCACATAAAAACAAAATCTATTCAGACATTTACCAATAAACGCAAATATTGAGTAAATTACTGTCGCCGCGTCTTGCAGTTCTATCCGTAGATTGCTCCGGGTCCCCTCTCTCCGACCAGAAGATTGTGTTTTTTCTCGCCGCACAAGCATCATTACTTTGCGACCTTTTACTACGTGCCTTACCTGTTATATTGCAGACCGGATTGGACCAGCCTGCACTGACTAAGATCATGTAGGGTTCCCTCTGTTGCTTGGCAGGATTGGCCTGGCACTGATTATGATGGATCACTTGTTGTAAAAGGAAATCTACGAGTAAAAAAAAAAAGTGCTGGTTTGATTTAAAGCAGGATTAGTTCTACTACTGAATCCCTCTGCCTGGGAATTTTAGTTTGAGGTTCATGTCTTTTAAAACTTTAAGCTGTGATGTGTGCAAGAACATTTTGTCTCATTTCTTTGCTTTTTTTTTCGTTGTTTTTTTTAAATAAAATATATATTCAGGGGTCGCACATGCTTGTTTAATCTATTGTCACGCCGCAGGTACTGGATTGACTCGGGAAGAAACGTCTCTGCAGTGTCACTGCGGAGTCGGCCGTGTCTCGCTCCTGTCGCCCATGTAAATCAATGACGGCAGCGACTTATTTGGGTGTTCGGGTGATTTACAGTGTGAAGCTTTGAAAGAAGCATGTGCGGCGCATCTGGAGGTGGCTGACTGCAAAGCTGGTGCTGCACAGGAGCGCACTGCTTGAATAATGCACCTTGTGCATTGCTTGACATACTGAATCTGAAGAAGAGGATAAATAAAAGCTGTATGCAGACGTACAAGGTACAGTTACAGCTACTGGTTTAACTGGGACTGAGAATAAACTGAGAACTTGACCATTAATCCAAGAGCTTAATCCAGTGATGACTGAAAACATGAGTGCAGAGGCAGAATGTGGTGGTAGCCTTATGATGGACTACGTCTATAAAAAAAAACAAAAAAAAAACACAAATTCCTACCCCATTTAAAGAAATATCACCCAAAATGCTGGGCTTTGGATCAACCCCTTGGATGACTTATTCAAGTGGGTGTCTTATAGGTCGTGCACAGTGTGATTACCACTCAAAAATAAGTCACGATAGAGATAAAAGATGTGGGCAGTCCTTTTCATTATGTTAATACGAGTGGAAAACATCCAAGATTTCCTTGACTTGCAGCTTAACCTTTTGAGCTGCTGTTTGTGTTTCAACTTGTTTAACTTTAATAGGGCTTCCTGCTTTAACCACAGGCTTCGATGATCTTTTTTGCTCATCATTTCGTGTTCCATCTTCACTCTCGACCCCATCGCCCCCAGTGTAAATATTCCAGTTTTGGTGTCTCTGAAAATTGGAAAGATGAGTCACAGCAGATAAGTTGTTTTTAAATAAATAAATAAATAAATGCTAAGAAAAAAAAAAAAAGGTACTCGTGCTTTACATGCAGTGCCTTGCAAATACGGCTCTAGAAAGAGAATTAAGAAAGCACTCAAAATACAGTCTGATTTAACTTTTTAAATGTACATGTTTGAGTAAAATGAACATTGTTTTTTTTATCGACAACATGTCTCCGTAATCCCGAGGAAATATTTTGCGTTTATTAGCAGAAAATGAGAAATGGTCAATATAACGTAAAACCTGCAGTGCTTTCAAACCTCAAATAATGCAGAGAAGGCAAGTTCACATTTACTTAGACACAATGATACTAATGTTTTAACTCAGGAAAAGTCCAGAAGTCAATATATGGTGGAATAATCATGAGGTTTTCAATGAGGTTCAGTGCAGTGGTCTCCTATTTTTTATTAATTTTTTCCCCCAGAGCTGTGTATTGACATTTTTTCACATTTTTGTCACATTACAACCTTGGAACCTCAGGACGTACTTTTTTTTTAAAGTGAGATGAAAATGAAATGTTAAAATGTTTCTACAAACACTTGAAATAGCATTGCATTTTTTATTATTTAAGGCCCTTTTTTCATTTCATATCCTTAAATTCAATTCTTGGCAAACAAGAGTTCACTTGAGTCCAAATTAATCTCAGTATAAAACCTATCCCTACAGGATAACAATGCAGAGAATTAATCAGAGCAGGAACCTAAGCTCCTGTTGTAGCACAGAAGTTGCAGAGATCCACATCTCAGGTGAGAGAATCTTTTGACAGTATGTCTATTGTCTGTCCTTAACAGAGAAGTGACGAGAAGAAAGTCCTGTGTTTTGTTTGTCGCAGACCAAGAACAAAGATGCACAACAAACAGCTGATAAATGGAACTAAATACAGGACAATCCTGGAAATAGGAGGTTCACCTACCCGCAGGACAGAAATGATAAACAACCAGATCTATAGTGGAAGGGTTCAGATCAAAGCAATTTCATGTGTTAGAACGGCCTAGTGAAAGTCCAGATCTAGGTCCAGCTGAGAATAGCTGAACACAATCCAGTCTGACTGTGCCGGATTGGTTTTGCAAAGAAACAAAGGAAAGAATAAAGTTTTTTTTTTTATTATTTATGTTTAAAGCAAGTTGAGACATACCCCTAAACAACTAGTAGCTGTAATTGCAGCAAAAAAAGTTGCATATTCATACTAGATTTTTCAGATTTTTCTTTGCAAAAGAAAGTATCAAACCATGTTTAATTTTCCTTCTACACATTTACCCCCAACATGCTGTTCTGATACACTGTGGTTGTAACATGACAGATGGTGGAAAAGCTCAAGCAGCATGGATGCGTTTATAGGCATGGAATATTACAATAGCACAGTAAGCCACCAAAAAGTATAATTTTTTTTAAACTCTTAATGCTTAGAATGTCTAATTAATGATTCTTATTACCATCATTGTCTTCATATCTTAAAATAAAACACCACTGAGAGGAATATAATGCATGAAAAACCCAAAGTGCATCATGCAATTTCCTTAAGCGTCCACTCCAGGGCTCAATATCTGCTACTGGTGTAAAAATACCTTCAGTGGGTTTTGTGAGCCACCTTGAAGACCGCTTTTCAGCCAAAGTGAAGACAATTATCGGACACATGATCTGTGGGTATTTATAAAGCCAAGGCCCTGGTTTAATATATTCACACAGATCCATTTCTGTGTGGCCGGTCCTCCCGTCAGACTGGCAGCCTGCCAAGCAGCCAGCAAGTCCATTTCCACCTTCGGTAACGTCAGCGAGCGGGCAGCGAGGCAGGGACAGGAGCGAGCAGGGATGGCGTCAGCGGAGAGTTTTTAGAAGGAGATAGGATTCCTGAAAGCATCTATTTTCATTTCGTGGTCGCTCAGCCTTTTCTGGGGCCTGAGATGCTTGGTGAACAGAGCATGGGAACTGATGAATCACTCCTGCCTTTTTCCTTTCCTTTTTTTTTCTTTGCACGGCAAGGCAGAGCGCACTGACATTAAGGGGGCTGTGAAGTATGAGAGGGTCTCAGTCCAAAGAGTCCTGAAAAGGGACAGTAAGTGGTAGCAATAGATAACCTGGTGTCCTTGAATCATGGTTACGAGATCTGGCAATAACTCTAGCATGGATCTTCATGCTTCCTGTGGGTTCACATAGTAAAATAAAAGCCATAGTCTTAACTCTTCCACCTTGAAATCAGTAAAACCACCAGTTGTGTAATAGGATTATGCAACAATCTATCGATTCATGTTAACTAGCTAAGGTTGCCTTGTTTTTGTTGCTTCACTAAATTGCATGCATCTCCGTTGCAGGTTCTACTGGGACTTGATAATGCTCATCATGATGATGGGGAATCTAATCATCATTCCTGTGGGAATAACCTTCTTCTCAGAGCAGACCACCACCACCTGGCTGGTTTTCAACGTGGCTTCGGACACCATCTTCTTGGTGGACCTGGTCATGAACTTCAGGACGGGGATCGTCAACGAGGAGAGCTCCGAGATCATCCTCGACCCCAAGGTCATCAAGATGAATTACCTGAAGAGCTGGTTCGTGGTGGACTTCCTCTCCTCCATTCCGGTGGATTATATCTTTTTAATTGTGGAGAAAGGCTTCGACTCGGAGGTGTACAAAACTGCACGCGCTCTGCGAATCGTCCGCTTCACCAAGATCCTCAGTCTGCTGCGTCTGTTGAGATTGTCCCGGCTCATCAGATATATACATCAGTGGGAGGAGGTGTGTATACGGCATTTCTTTGCATATAGATTAAAAGGAGAAAAAAAAAGAGAGGGAGTCGTTGTTATGAGATTATTCTGTGTATATTTGGGCTTGTGAGCTGGATCTAAAACCACCCGGTGCCATTTTTAGAGGGTTTTTATGGAGACATATACTGACTAAATGCAATAAAAGGCTACATTACTCATCGACAATTCTACACAGTAAAGCTAGATGTAACGTGGTGGTGGGAACAATCTCAAATTTAAAGTTCATTATTTTCAGTTGTGGAAGGATTTATCCTGCTCTTGTGATTTTTCTATAGATTTGAGGAGGTCATAAGTAGTGTTCCACACCTAAATTACGCATGTTTTCTTACTAATTGTGGTAATCAGTCTGATTCCAGTACAGTTTTACAGTCAATAGATATTTTAAAATGAGAGGCACTTTTATTTAGACATGGACGCGCTTTCTGTTTCAAGGTACGCCTCGGTTCCACAAAATCTTGTGTTAGAATGTTCCTGCTAGTAACTACATACAGTACTGCCCTTCTTGCAAGGTGGAAACCAGAAATATAATATCCGTTAACTCAAGATTGCATAATACTAACACACTTCAGTATGTTTTGTGAAAATGAAGTCTGTCTTGCGAAAAAAATCTACCTAGTTGCTGTCAGCCTGATTTGGTCTGGTGAAGTGGGTATAAGATGTTCATAATATCCTGCTTGTGTTTATAGTTAAGACTCTTATTTTGAAGTAAAACGGGAAGCAGTTTTAGAGCTGCACTGTTGTGTGACAGGGTTGCATAATAAAGACGTCTGGTTAGGCTGCCTGACAACTCTTGATTACAGAAGCATTGAAAAAATGCTAATTTGTTTTCCCAGCATTTTGGTACAAAAAAAATAAATAACAGCCTGACAAGTGAGAGAATGATGATTTGTAAGTACTGTAGTAAAATGCTGCACACCATAGCTAGCTAACAAAAGTTAGCATTAGTGCTAAACTAAAAGGCCAATGTGCTGGACCACACTTTGTGATTTCTTGTTCAGAATATAAACATTTTCGCCTGGTTACATCTCACCGCCATTCTGATGCTTCCTGTCCTTGCTGGAAAACAGCACGAGGCCGCCATTACCAAATGAAACCGCAGGGATGGTGTGTTTGGGATTTCATGCAGGATTGGTTTTCCACCAAATATTACTTTGCAACTATGCAGAGAATGTCTTTCTCATCTGTTTAGAGACAGAACCCTTCGCCATGTGTTTGCTGTGTTCCCTGCTGGGTTCTTTATTTTATTTCATAAAGAAGTAGTTCTATTTGAAAAGTAGCTTCTTTTTGAGGCCTTCAGATAACGGCTACATCCATACTGAGGTTAGAATACACACAAGGAGACTCTATTTACTAATCAGGTGAGCTGATGAACCCCTGATGAAATTTGCTTACACAGTTTTTTTTTATTTACTGAATACATATGCATGTTGCACTTCTTAATTTTGTGTATGTGTGTATATATATATATATATATATATATATATATATATATATATTTCATATATGTTTATATATGAAATTTTTTACAAAGTGCTGTCCTTTCTATTCAGTCTCCCTTTTATGCCTTATAAAATAGCACACAGAAAAGAGCGACTTGAATAGGTCTGAGTGTTGTGTGGCTGAGACAAATATGTGGTGCAGCAAGGTTAATGAAAATCTGCAGTGAGCATGCAGCCTGGCGGTGCAGCATATAGGGACGCGTCGTAATGCTTGAATAGAGGAGCAGAACTCGCAGCACTGCTTTTCTCTCTGTTCTTCTCATTCACGTTGTTCCTTTTCGTTCACTTCTCTCACCTATGTGCTGTTGTCATTTCTGTTTGTCCTTTTAGATGTCAGGCTTTTTAAAATTACAATAATAGTTTTTTTTTTTTTTTTTTTTTCGGAGCCCCATTCAAAACAGCCGACGCATCCACAGGAGACGTGAGTTGGAAAGAGTCCAGTCAGTTCCAACATGTCAGGTGTCTGCATCAGGATTAGAGCGCTAATGGAGGGACAAATACAGCCTCTGCCGTCGTAATGGACTTCAAGCAGCGTAACTGTCATTACATCAGCTCAACCACAGACTTAGTTAGGTATTCAGGCAGTCAGTTTCCACAATAAGTCGTCCTCCGTCCTCTATGTTCATCCATCATTCCTTCATCTGTCGTGGTGTGTTGGCCGCCTCCTTCCTCACTTTGTCACATCTCTCTCCTCCGTCTGCGGAGGGAACGATGGGTGTTGTTTAATCATCATCACAGGCCGGACAGTCAGAACTGGCCACATTCAGATTTGTTGTTTTTTGTTAAATCCTCTGTAGATCTTTGTGCTGCAGAGACAAACGGCATATTAATATGTTGGCTGTATTCGTGCCGTTCTTTTTCACCCACAGGGAAGGATTTTATTTTTACTTAAAATGATAGATGTTGGCCATGTGTGTTTAAAAATAGGTTTGTAGTCAGCTGCAGGTGTGCTGAAGTAACTACCTGCCATGTTTTAGTAAATCCGCGCTTTTGTTCTGTTAAATTTGCTTGTGCCAAAAACGAGAACACGTAGCTGTTTTAAATAAAACAGCTGAGTGGATACACTCACTTGACTATAAGCCATTGGGGGGGAGGGAGGGGGGGCTATAAGATAAGCTAGGAAGCTTGTCGAAAGTTGCAATGCAGGAATCCATCACAGATGACTGGGTAGTTAAATCACCGGCGCTCGCCTACACCCTACCTTACTTGGTATTTATCCTGCTGGTTGCCGCTGTTTATGCATGGCTCTCTCTCTTTGTGTTTGATCAGCTATTCATCCGCGTGTTTACTCTCACATAATTATTGCAATGTGCAGAGCTTTGGGAAATTATAGCGTACGGCGTAAAGGTCACGGCGAGCAGTAAATATGGCGTACACTCAAACAGGACAATTTAAACAGGCACCAACCACTTGGAAGACCATGCTGTTTGCACACCTGAAAAGTAGCTCCTTTTTTTCCCCCTGATCTTCCTGTGAGGAGGTGAACGGGACGGATTTGACTTTAGGAGACATCGGCATATTTTCACGCCACGATTTATGGAGTCATTTTCTGGTTTGATTTCACGTCGAACTCAAACCAGAAATGTCAACAGAGTAAAAGTGTTGCTCTGATTTAAGCTGAGCTCGTATTATTTTCTCATTTACTATATTGTGCACTTTATAAAGAGTCAGCCATTTTGTTGGAATGTTGATATTCTTTAAACGTTTCACATTTAGTCCTGTAGCTGGTACAGGATTTTAGGTGATGTTTTTTATTATTATTATTATTATTATTATTATTATTATTATTATTATTATTATTTAATAAGAACCCTCCGTTGCAACGTCTAACTGGCTTTTATTACAGCTTATGATGGGTTTGAGAATGGGTGAGCCCAGTTTAATATTTTTTGATTAAACTGGGCTTTTTGTCATATAGTTCCGACTTGGACACAAAGTCAATATTTTGTTTCCAGAAGACAGTTATCCCCTAGACATCTCATTTGTTTCTGCAACGGATGAAGTAAAATGAAAATAAAAACCTTCCTAAAGCCACAATCTCAACTTTACAAAAGAAGGTTTTGGGCCACTGTGGCTCAAACGCAGGAGTAGGTGTGTTGCAACTGAAAAGTTGCGAGTTCAGCTCCAGCTTCCTTCCATGCCACGCCTGCATCCTGGGGTAAGGCGTTAAAGATTAAGATGCTTATCAATCTGTGTATTGGTGTGTGAAAGTGTATGTTTTTATTTTCTCTATAATAAAGACCTTTTGAGTGCAACATCAGGTCCGTGTCAGGCAACCAACCAGCTAAATGACCTCTACTGTTTCTCTTATGAAGAGGGGTCAAAATTTCACGTCATATGCTTTTGTCGGTTGCCATGGGTACAGAAAGCATGTGGTCCAGGCACTAGTCTGTTAAAGGTAATGTATCTACAAATGAAAGGGTTTGAAAATCTATATTTGCTTATGCGTTGTTAGTTTTGCCCAAAAATTCACAATAAATTCGAGCTTATGCAAACTCTTTATCCAGGAAATTATGAAAGTGGTTTATCTTGGGGAAGAGAAAAATGCTCCAAATGGCTTCTTAAAGGCCAAAAATGAACGTGACATTCTGTGATGAGTGGATGTGAACTTTTCACTGGAAGTGAAGGCTAAATTGCTGAATGTAGCTTAACTTTATTCTTGGCCGCTAATGTACCAAAAGCTATCAAACCAGTGTTTGTTAGTGATGCTATGCTATTCATATGCCAAGTAGAGTCGTTAATGCCTTCACCGCCACTGCTTATGTGGATACGCAAACGACAGGATTCGACATAAAATAGGACTAAAGTTTTTGAATGATGGTTGTCATCAAATAGGACATTTTGGGTCATGTTGGTCTTCTTTTTGGGGGCACCATAAAGTGGAGTTCTATAATTATTGAGAGGGAGGACTCAAATAAAAGGAGTCCTATATGTTGTGAACCACAGGTTTTTAATTGCTTTGGAAGAAAACCTCATCCACTGGACACCATGAAAGAAGCAAGAAACCGAGTAGGAATAATTTTCAGATGTTGTTTCACTGTCTGCCAGTTTCTTTTCTCTGAATTCATTTAGAATCTGTTAATGTGGTCTGGATGAAAGTCCCTTGTTTTGGCCTCATTTTCCCCAACATACAAAAATAATGTACTACACAGTAAAGAAGTAAAGACAGTTTTTGGGTATTTTTAAATGCTTGTATTGTATTTGGGTGGTGATAAAGTACCTTGATTTTTTTTCTTTTCTTTTTTTTTTGGTGAGTGGTGGTTTACCAACTACTTGTATGTAATGTCTGAGAGTTTAATGAGTTGCCTTTTATAATGACAGTGATTAGTGGTGGCATTTACACCATTTAATCTTTAACTTCACCAGCGTTTTTAGGGATGTTTCAAGGACGTTTTCGCCCTCTGCTCTCATGCATTTTGATCCTCCTGTCCGTATGTTTCTCTTATTATTTCATGCCCTCACAGGCTAATTA